CAAACACTAGTTTAACTAAAAAAAAAAAAAAAAAAAAAAAAAAAAAAAAAAAAAAAAAAAAAAAAAAAAAAAAAAAAAAAAAAAAAAAAAAAGAAGGAAAAGGAAATAAAGGAAAACAATACTGCAAAAGTTCCCGAAATATGAGGAAAAGAGGCAACAACAGCCTGGCGGGCAGGCAATTCAGCTGATCTGTTGGCTCCAAGGAGAAAAGTCAGTGATGGGGCACCCCTTGGGGCAAAGTATTTGACTAGGACGTTTGTAATGGATTAAGTAAAATGCTACAGGTTCCCAAGTGGCTGCAGCGGGCAGAGGGCCATGAGACCATGCCGCAGGTTCCCCAAGCAGGGGCACGCAGCGGGTCCCAAGAGCAGCCAGTCCCAGGCAGGGCCGGCAGTTCCCCAAGTGTCTGCAGTGGGCCACGAGGGGCAATGAGTCAGGAGATCACGCCACAGGTCTCCGAAGGCAGCTGGTCCCAGGCAGGCAGACAGACACCACTATGCAGAGTGAGGTTGGATATTTAGTTACTGGGTTATGGAAAGGAAGAGGAGAAGGGAGAAGAGCAGAGAGAGGGAGAGAGAGAGAGAGAGGGGGGGGGAAGGGAAGAAGTGGAGAGAGACAGAAGCTGCCTCTTCCAGAGGGAGACAGAAAAGGTAAGGACTCAGGCTGGAAGCTGAAGATCAGTTTGCCACGGCGAATGGGGGGGGGGGGGTGACTTGTCTCTTAAAGGAACAGAACAGACCATTACATTCCCTTCTCTTTTTTATAATAAAAAGGCGGAAGTTTAGGCACAACAGGATAAAGATATTGGGGCAGTGGATTCTCAAGACTGCTTCCTGCTTATTTGTGGGTGTCGTCTTGGTGGAGAGAACCTTAGAAATCTGGGTGCTGGTCACATCCTGACATAGCTGGTCTGTTTGTTCCTGTCCAGTGTTTGTGGTATGGAAATGTCTGGTGTCTCTTACACCTGTTTAAGGTATTGGCAGAACAGAGGATAAAGTTAAGTTTAGGAAAAAAAAAATTAGGGCCAGGGAATTGAGGGGATGTATCTGACCTGTTTAAGGTGGATTCTTCAATTCAGCTCCCTGGAACTCACAATAATTTTTTGGGTTTGTAAAAACAGAAATTTTAGACATATACATTATATAAACAGTAGCATATTTATGTCAGAATAACTGTGACAGATATTTTTGCACAATGAAAAGTATTTTTAAGACTAGGAAGGCAGCCTGTATTTGTCCTCACACCTTTATAACTTGCAGGTCTTGTATTTGTATTTTACTGAAATTTGTTTGATGAGATTGTCCTTTTAAACTGACAAAACCTCTCAGCTGTCAAACTGCATCAGAGATCTTTGAGAAGGATGAAATTTTACTTGAGTTATTGATTAAAAAACAACAGAGAACTTACTTGGTTGGCACCTAGAGCCTCTCCTCAGGGTCCTCCATGGTCGCTGAAGGCATAGTTGTCTTTTGCTGTTTAGCACAGGGCCTGCCAAGCTCCAGAAGATCCTGTGGGCTAAGAAATCTGTAGGAAGATAAGCCTAGGTTGACCTGAGCAGCTAGGCTATCGATTCCAGAGATTCTCTCCACATCTGGAGAAATTCAGTTTAGATAAAAGGCAGTTTTTTCCCAGTGGTCAGCACTTGGCAGTTGAAGCAAATTGTGGATGGTGTTGTTTTGTGCCCATTTGTCTTCTGTCTCCTTTGGAGGAAGTAGAGTGTTGCTGCTAGGAGTCAACCTGTCTCTTTTTGTTATGGAAAGTTTTTAATAATTAAATTTAAGTTACATGTATGAACACACAAACACACACACGAGTGAGCAGGAATTAGGTGAAGTGGATGCTCTTGGTGGGCCCTACCAAAGGCATGCCACTGCGCAAAACACACATGCAACAGAGTCAGCAAGAGGAATTTAGAGACAAAAACGTAAGTAAACGGGGGGGGGGGGGGGGGGGGACCAGGCAGGGTATACCTCAGTAAAGATGGAGGGACTTGGTCACCTGACCTGACTCTCAGTTAAGATGGCAGCGAAGTCACATGACCTCACTTGAGATGGTGGTAAGGTCACCTGTCCTCAGTCAAAATGGCAGCAGTCATATGTTGTATGGAAAAGCCACTCAGTTAAGATGGCAGTGAAGTCACCTGACCATTATAACATTAACAGCCAACTGTGAAAAGGATGAGGCAGGGAGTAACCTTGCTGTGCTGGTTCCTTCAGCTGCCCATGCCTTCAAGTAAGGCAGAGTTGCTTCCTTACAGCCCTGGGAGTTTCCAGAAGTCTCCTGTGGCTCTCATTGAACTAAATTCAAGGCAACTGAATTTATATACCTATCTTAGAAGTCAAGCTAACATATTAAATGTTTCCATATAATACAATGTATATGCATGGTCTGGAGAACATTTTATACAATATTTTAGGTTACTCACATTTTGACTGCAAGGTATTATGAGAGCAGGTGTGGAATTTTCCAGCTATGGCATCATGTCAGTTCTGGCAGGGCTGGAGGGAGGGCTCAGTGGTTAAGAACTCTTGTTCTCACAAAGGACCCAGGCTCTATTCCCCATTTATTCACAAACATCCATAACTCCAGTTCCAGAGAAATCAATTCACTCTTCTGATCCCCATAGGGCACCAGGCATGCACATGGTACACATGCATACATACATACATGCAGGCAAAATAGTCACACACAGAAAATAAAATATATAAATAAATAAATTCAGATTTGGGGCTGACTAGTTTTATGTCAACTTGACAGAAGTTAGAGTTAATTGGGAAGATAGACTCTCGATTGAGAAAGACTCCATACTCCCCATCAATGTTTGGAATTAGTTGATATTAGAATCAGATTGATAGCCCTCAAACAATGCTGGCAATGCTGAGAGAAGATCATAACTGTAGATCTACAGTCACTTGGACTTCTAACAACTCATCTGTGAGGTACAGTAACCCACCCAGTTACTTGTACAACTGGGCATGTAAAAGGCTCCCCTAATGAGCAGGCCAAATGCAGATTAGAATGCATGCATTCCAGGGATGAATTTGCTTCAAAATAAAATAAGATAACCCCTAAGAAGCTAAATGACCACACTTAACAAATGCAAACAAACATACCAAGCAGAAACTTCTACGAGTTTCCTCTGAAAGAAGGCTCAGATCACTCACTGTGGGAGAAGCCCGGCTGTGAGACTCTAAGCAGAGGCCCTGATAGTGACTGCAGCCTCCTCTGGCATCCAGGCTGTGTGAGCCTCTTAGGATACAGAGCCCAAGTCCAGCTAGGCTCACACACGAGTGAAGTGGTTGGTCAGACAAGTCAGGTCATTGAAGGGAGACACCTACATGAAGAGTCCAAGAATAAGAAAATAAAAATGCAGATTCCAGAAATAGGAACGTAGAAATAAAGAAATATAAAGTTGTAAGCCTAGGAGAATGAGAACAGATTGTCAGCAGCTTTCTCAGCAGCTTGAGGATTAACTATTAACAGTGGGTTACTTCACTTTACAACCCATAGCTCTATTTACAAGGCCAAAGCATCTTTCTGCAAACTGAGAGCTAGCCTACGGATATGAGCTGAGTCAACTTTTAGACATAGATATATGACCTCTGGGTTATGCATTATCCCTGCTATGTGAAACTGGCAGCATCAAAGGAGAGCACACAAGGCTTCAGCAAACAACACCTGGAAGTACCAGGGAAGACAACAGATTAAGTGCAAACACTAGTTTAACTAAAAAAAAAAAAAAAAAATCTCTGTTAATGGAGATTGTAAAGTAAGCAATCTGTATGTTGCAGAAGGAGTGGGCTGCCCAGCTATCTTACACCCGAAATAACCATACAGAAACTGTATTCATTTAAACACTGCCTGGCCCTTTAGCTCTAACTTCTTATTGGCTAATTCTTACATCTTAATTTAACCCATTTCTATTAAATCTGTGTATCACCACGTGACTGTGGCTTACCGGCAAGATTCTAACCAGCATTCGTCTCAGGCAGGAGACCCATGGCATCTGCCACTCTGCCCTTCTTCCCAGCATTCAGTTCTGTCTACTCCACCTACCTATGTTCTGTTCTATTAACTAGGCCAAGGCAATTTCTTTATTCAACCAATGAAAGCAACACATAAACAGAAGGACCTCCTACACCATCTGTATCTGAATTTTACCTTGAGATTGTAAAAATTCCTTTGTTCAGACCTAATGCTTGGTGCCCCTACTATAAAAAAAGGTGGGTCCAGAAACCAGCTTTTTGCCACAGCCTTAAAATCCATCTCTGGCTGTGGTCTCAGCTAGCTGATAAGCTGTTTGTGCCCCATAGAGATTTTTTTTTTAATTTTTTTTATTGTTTCCTGGATTCTGGTTTCTGAAATAAAGTTTGCTTCTGGTTTAGTAGCTTTTGATGGTCTGTCCCCATCTTTGCATGACCCCCCTGGACCCAACACTACACAGCTGAAAATAAGACACAATTCCTAGGTCCTCAGGATTAAAACCTGAAATACAATTTATATACTGGATTGCAATTAAAAAAAAAGAAATTTAAAAAGTCGTTTGCTAGATGTGGTGACACTGGCCACTCAGTAGACATTTGTGGTAATTCCAGCATATAGTAGGCATTCTCAGGGAGATTCAAAGTTCAAGGGCAATGCAGTTTGGACTACATAGTCTACAGTGAGACCCTATCTAAAAGGCATGCCTAAGTAAACAAACAAATAAATCAATATACGACTGCACATCATCAACTATTAAATTTCAACATAGTTCTGCCACATCTAATGACTGGCTCTTTGTTTTCTTTCTTTTCCAGCTTACTGGTGCATCTACGTTCAAGCCAATGGCATTTGGTTGGGTTATTTATGTATTTATTTATTGGTTGGTGATATTATTTGTTCAGTATTAGGCCAAAGTAGCCCAAGGAAAACTAATTTTGTTAAAACACCCCCTTCTCCATTAATGGAATGGCAATGCAACTTATATCTTTGGACTATATTTCTACTGGAGAAAGTAGTATATGTAGGATAAGCTATGAGTCGTGTAAGACCACAGAGCTACAACTCCAAAAAATAAAAATGTGAAGAATAGAAATAGTAATAAAAATTAATGTTGATTCTTACAGTAAAGCTGTTTTAGAGAAGACTTAGCTTTTATTTTTAATTATGTGTGTCTGTGTTTAGATATGTGCACATACATGTGGGTGCCTACAGAGGTCACAGAAGACATAGGATCCCCTGGAGCTCTAGTTACAGGTGGTTTTGAACTGCCTGCTGTGGGTGCTGGGAACTGAACCCAGGTCCTCTGGAAGAGCAGTATGCACTCTTAACCACTGAGCCATCTCTCCATCCCCACACCATGGCTTTTTAATGTGTCCATTTCTTGGAAAATAAACCCAAATCCCAAGAAAACTGAGAGTCAAGGACTACACAATGCCAATGTCTAGTCTCTAAAGCAGTAAGTATGCAAATCTGGAGGATGCTGCAGGTCCAGATGCTGGCAAACATTATAACCCTTTGCAACCCAGAAGAATGGTCAAAGGCAAAGCAGAAAGCTAGAAATTAGCAAGAAAGGAATGCCCTGGGGACAGTCATTAGGGAAATGGCTCCTCACTGACTATGTTGCCTTCTAGACAACCTACTGGAAACAGCCCCAAAGCACCACTGTTGGTTAGTAAGATGTCATCATTTGGCTCCACGTGGGAGACAAGGTGCTAAACTTCATAGCAGCAGATGGGGACAGATGGTGCTTACATAAAACCTCATACCAACACTGCTATCAAGGCAAAAAAAAATTGAAAAATGGTTTGACTAGAACATCTTTAGTAAGAAGTCTCATCTTTTCCATATTCAATTCTGAGGAAGGAAGATAATAGTGCCAATGAAATATCTGAATTTTTATGGTCTCATACTTCTTCCTTCCATGAGAGTCATCTCTTTACAGCCAGCAATCTTGAACTCATTTTCTACTAAGGGTTTCCATTTTAAATAGCAATGCTGTCTTTCAAAATGATTCATAAAGGTATACACCAATTAAAAACAGAAACAACAGTCAAGATGATTGTATGTGCGTGTATGCACACATACACACATATGACAACACTCAAGAAATATTCACTTATAAGATGCTCTTCAGCCTAAACACTGTGACTCTATGATTCTGCGATCTAGCAGTAAGTAGCTACAGTTCAGGATGCTGAAGATTCGCCCACTTCACACTGACTCTACTTCTTGGCCATTGTGCTATTTATATCTGTTTTAGTCATTATTTTATTGTTATGAAGAGACACCAGGATCACGTCAACTTTTTTTTAAACATTTATTTTTTTATGCATGCAGTGTTCTGCCTGTATATATGCCTATACACCAGATCTCATTATAGATGGTTATGAATCACCACGTGGTTACTGGGACTTGAACTGAGGACCTCTTGAAGAGCAGCCAGTGCTCTTAACCTCTGAGCCTTCTCTCCAGCCTGACCACATCAATTCTTATAAAAGGAAGCATTTAATTGGGGGATTCTTCACAGTTTTACAGGGCTAATTTATTATCATCATAGTGGGGAGCAAACAGGCATGGTGTTGGGCCAGTAACTGAGAACTTTACATCCTGATCCTTAGTCAACAAGCAGAGAGACAGACACTGGGTCTGAAAACCCATCCACGGAGACACACCTCCTCCAACACGGACACTTCTCCTCCAACAAGGACACCTCCACCAACACAGACACTCCTCCTTCAACAAAGACACACCTCCTCTAAGGGATATGGAAACAATTGGTTCCTGGAGCCCACTGACCTTCAAGCCCAGCCTAAGCAAGTGCTGGGTCCCCCAGTAAGAGATCCTGTCTCAAAAATCAAGGTGTACAGCTCCTGAGGAGCGAGGCTGGAGGCTGACCTCTGACCTCTGGCTTCCATATGCAGCCACCCCCACCACAAACACACAGAACAGCAGGGCTAATTAATTTAGCTGCATAATTATGAGCTAGCAGAGATTCCACAATTATCAATAAAATCCCTAACTCGGATTTAATTGTGCCTCATAAAAGCTCAGATACAAAAAGAGATAATGGGTACCTTTGATTTCCAAAGCAAGCACCAGGGATGAAAAAGGGCAGTTGAGCAATATAAAACTCACTGCTGTAAAAGGGGTAGGAGCAGATCTCTGTGTCCTGATAAGAAAAGCCTCCAAGATACAGTGTGCTCATTTTGGTGTAAGAAAATGGGAAAATAAGCTGGTGGTAGTGGCACTTGCCTTTAATCCCAGCACTTGGGAGGCAGAGGCAGGCGGATCTCTGTGAGTTCGAGGCCAGCCTGGTCTACAGAGCTAGTTCCAGGACAGGCTCCAAAGCCACAGAGAAACCCTGGGGGAGGGGGGTGGCGATGAGAAAACGATATGTATTTAATATGTATTTCTAGTGTGCACCAGTGTGTTTCTATAAAGGCATGCTGGAAGGTCATATAGAAGAAACTGATGAAGGTGTGACCTAGGACAGAGTGTGGCGCTGTATGGACAGGTGAGGGAAGAAGTCACCCCAGGACACACGCCTTCATACCTGCCTTGATTTGCAGGTGGTGTCTTACCTGTTGAAACTGCACTTTACATCTCACTGAAAGTCAACGGGCTTTCCTCAAAGAGCCCCCGGGAATTCACAGGTAAACTGAGAAGCCAGGGACATTGACCCAGAAAACTCAAGAGTGCCTGACAAAGGCTCAGAAACGGTTTGCTCATATCAAAGCCAAGGGTTGAAATCAAAGGGTGCGTGCGTGTGTGTGTGTGTGTGTGTGTGTGTGTGTGTGAACACACGCGCGTGCGCGATTTTGAAAGTAAGAGGACGAGAGAGAGAACTACAAAATAGGACATAGGACGCTGCAGGAGCCAATGGGGTAAATGGCAAGGAGTCTACAGAGCACAGGCCAGGGGTCCTCCTCATGAGGTCGTCCATCTGGCGCCCTGTCTTCAGACAGACTCAAACATCTCTTCATAATCGCAAAGCAAAATCTATGAATGAATTGATGACATTAAAATCTGAGCAGTTTGGAATTATTCAGAATTATCACTCCAAAAACTGCAATGGGGGGAGGGGGGCTGGAGAGATGGCTCAGCCACTAAAGGCTAGGCTCACAACCGAAATTAAACTCCAATTTACCAGAAAGCCATAGACATTAAAGTGCCATTAAAGCAGACAGAGGATTTCCAACGCAGGCTGGTTAACAAGACTAGCTGTAATTGATTAGCTCTGAGTTTGATTGAGAGACCCTGAGCTCTGAATTTGATTGAGAGACCCTGGTCTCTGTGAATAAGGAGAGATGATTCTGAAACCAACTGCTGGCTTCCACAATGAACTCACGCCCACTTGCATGTGCACCCACACATGTTAGCCACATATGTAAACACGCATACGCATGGAAAAAGAAAAATTATTTTTAAGTATTAGCATGTACACAGATATACTAAATGCATTTCATTCTTTTATTTTTTTTTACACTTTTTTTTTGTTTGTTTGTTTTTTTGAGACAGGGTTTCTTTGTGGCTTTGGAACCTGTCCTGGAACTAGCTCTTGTAGACCAGGCTGGCCTTGAACTCACAGAGATCCGCCTGCCTCTGCCTCCCAAGTGTGGTATTAAAGGTGTGCGCCACCACAACTAGATGGTCTAATTTTCATTTTTACATACATGGAGAAAGTTAATCTAAAGAGTTGCAAAAATCAGGCGGTAATGGCAAACGCCTTTAAATCCAGCACTCAGGAGGCAGAGGCAGGCAGATCTCTGTGAGTTCAAAGCCAGTCTGGTTCACAGAGTAAGCTCCAGGTTAGCCAGGATTGCACAGAGAAACCCTGTCTCAATAAAACAAAACAAAAAGTTTGACTAAAACTTTAGTTTTCGCATTTGTAACAGATATTTCATATTTGTAATAAACATGTCATAAAAGCTGGGGTGTTGGCTCAGCAGTTAAGAGCAAGTACTGTTTTTCTAGAGGACCTGTGTTTGATTCCCAGCACCCAAATCAGAAGGCCGAGGGCCCCCACTCACAATTACATGTAATTCCAGTCCCAGTGGGACCCAACTCCTCTGGCCAGTATGGGTACCTGCTCTCATGTGTATCTGTACACTCACGCACATGAGAACACGCTCATGTGCACACACAAAATAATATGTGGCTGGAGAGATGACTCAGAGGTTAAGAGCACTGGCTGCCCTACCAGAGGTCCTGAGTTCAATTCCGAAGTCCCAGCAACCACATGGTGGCTCACAACCATCTAGAATGAGATCTGGTGCCTTCTTCTGGCCACAGGCATACATGCAGGTAGAGCACTGTATACATAATACATAAATCTTAAAAACAATAACAATAAATCTTTAAAAATAAGAAATCCCTATTATGGTATTACTAGGGAGTCTGCGTGTTTAAGTGAGAACAGGACTTGCAGGATGACCAAGTGCAGGTCAAGGAAAGAGAATACAAAGGGACATTCTGGAAAGGGCTTGTGGACTAGCGTCAGACACCAAACAGCAGGGAGTCTCCTGCAGTTCTCGGTTTGGTCCCCATCCTCAGATCACCTGGGAAGGTGAGGGAGGCCCAGGCAGCCTGCAAGGACAGGCCTGTCCTTTCAGAGAAGGACTGGATGCGTGGGTCCTGGTCACTGTTTGATGTCTATGTTCCCCGGTCTTCAGTTTTTCTTTCTTTCCTCCCCCTCCCCCATCCCAGAGAAAATATCCTGGACTCTTTTGAGAACTAAGAACTAAACAATTGTTCCTGTGACCGTCAATCCCCAGTGTGCACATTTTGTAATGGGCTTGGGCATGCATGCATGGGGTTTGTTAAATTTCTCTTCTATGGTTAAGACTCTAACAGCCCATTGTCCCATGCATCTAGAGATAGAGCGAGCAAACAGCGATCAGTAAGGTCAGGCCAGCTCTGCCTTGGCTATGCAGAATACTTAAATAGCTTTGCAAGTCTTCTCTTGTAGCTAAATGCTGCCAAATTGCTTTTAGCTAGCTCCATCTAGAGGTGAGAAAAGTAATTGCCCGTGTATAGAGGGAGCAGGAATTAGATCCCTGTCAAGCAAACAGGGAAAGGGCCACAGACAGATAAAACCAGCAAACTTTCGGATCTTCTCCATCACTCCCGTGACGGGAAGGAAGCATCGGCCTAGCGGCTTGACACAGGCTTTTTCTCTCACCAGTGGGGTTCCACCCTACGCTCTCGGGGACAAATCCACGCTGGTCAGATAAGCTGAAAGTCAGACCTGGGTATATAAGCAGTGGAACTTTCTTTGTCTAAATAAATAGACCAGTTCATAGTTAGGGGAAAAGGACCCAACCCTGGCCAACAAAAATCACTTACACCTGGAGTCCTCCAGGGGCAAAGGGACTTGTTCTCAAACACCGGACAACTGGCTGAGGTACCTATTCAACATCCCATAGCAGACCCGATCACCAGGTTCTCCCAGCACCCCTCAGTGGCTGCCTGTTACAGAGTATGGCTGGCACACCCCTAAACTTCTCCAGCCCAGAGGCTGGCCTGCCCTTCCCCCAGCTGCCCTTCTCCGTGGAACCCATCCATTTTGGTTACCCATCCTTTTGTCTTGTGTCTACCTTGTACTCTTCTGGCTCTCCCTTCTCTTCTTCCTCTTCCCCTTCCCCTCTCCTCACGCGGCCTGGTTCACTCTGGACTCTCCCAGATGTCCCCGCCTCTGGCTATGCTCTCCCTTTTGTCTACAGTAAACTTCCTCCTCCCCTGTACCTAGGAACAGACAGGTCCTTTGTTCATTCAGGTGCCTGTCATTGTTCCTGCTGTATCTGAGATATTTCCTGCTGTTTCTTGCTGTGTCTATGATATTTCCTGCTGTTTCTTGCTGTGTCTATGATATTTCCTGCTGTTTCTTGCTATATCTGAGATATTTCCCACTGCTTCCTACTATGTCTGAGCTATTTATATCCTGTTGCTTCCTGTTGTGTCTGAGATATTTCCTGCTACATCTGAGCTATTTCCTGCTGCTTCCTGCTGAGCCTGAGCTATTATTTCCAACTGCTTCCTGCTGTGTCCAAGCTATTTCCTGTTGCTTCCTGCTGAGTCTGGGCTATTTCCTGTTGCTTCCTGCTGAGTCTGGGCTATTTCCTGTTGCTTCCTGCTGTGTCTGAGATATTTCCTGCTGCTGCTCCTGGTAATCAGGTTTTCCCAGCCTTTTAATCCTTTGATTAACAGAGAAATGAACCCGCCCCAGGCCCCTAGCTAGTAACACAATACTCCACAAATCTCTCCCTTCTTAGGGCAGTTCTTACGATAAAGTGGACAAGCACTTCGTGGCTTCTCGTTACCTATCTGAATTGGTTTTGGACCATAATTAGGACAAACAAGGGCTCCTGAGGTCAGGAGCTGTGATCCCACCACAGCTATTCTGAGCACCAAGATGGCTATGAGAGATGAGTAGGTGTGTAGCACGTACATTGCCGACAGCTTGGACAAAAGACTGCTCTTGGCGGGATAGCCTGGAGTGAGATCACACCAGGTCTCATTATCTCCTCAAATCTACAACTTAAAACTTAAGATTGGTTTCTTTCTATCATTTTTCATTTAATTTTTGCAGGCTCTGTCCTTCTCTAGGGTGACTGAATCCTCAGAAAATAAAACTGAAAGTAAGAGGAGAAAGTAACAAAGATTTTCCGAACACGATCCTGATAATACTTAGATTTTAATTCTCCTGTTTTTATTATATTTCTGTTAAAATCATTGTTATGTTACTGTACCAGGTTTTTTTTTTTTTTTGAGTCACCAACCAGCTCCCAAGTCACGACACGAAGACTTATTATTAGTTTTGAATGCTCAGCCTAGTTTAGCTTATTTCTGGTTAGTTCTTTCAATGTTACCTGGTTTTCTTCATTTATGGTCTGCCTCGCGTTTTTTTTCCTTTCTTCCTCCTGTATGTTCCTTTCATGCTTCTCTGTCTGGTTGGTGGCTGCGGCTGCATGGCTTCTGGTATTGGCTGTGTCCCTTTCTTTCTCCTTCATGCTCTCCTTTCTTCTTTCTCATTCTTTAGAGTCCTCTTCTTATTTTTCTCGCTGCCTGCCAGCCCCAGTTCCTTTCTCTACCTCACTATTGGCCGTTCAGTTCTTTATTAGATCAGGTGCCTTAGGCAGGCAAGGCGAAGCAAATGCGATACATCCTTACATAATTAAACACACATCCTTACATCGTTGAACAAATGTAGCATAAATAAATACAATACACCTTTACACAGTTAAAGTAATATTCCATCCACAACATAAACAACATCTTTGCATAGTTAAATATTCCACAACATGTTACTCTTTCTTAAAGTCTATTTTATCTGATAGACTTTTATATGGTCTCCTGATCTTTTTCTATTCATTTTACAAGTGTATATATGCGTATGTGCATATTTCTGTGTACTCTCCTGATGTGAAATGCCCTTCCGTATGCCTTGAATGTGTTTTGTTACCATTGCTTAATAAAGGAAGCGCTTTGGTCTATGGCAGGGCAGAATACAGCTAGGTGGGAAATCCAAACAAAGATAAAGGGAAAAAGAAGGCAGAGTCTGGGAGACACCAGCAGCTGCCAGAGAAAGAAGATGTGAGTTAACAAGCCATGAGTCTTGTGGTAAAATATAGAACAACAGACATGGGTTAATGTAAGTTGTAAGAGCTAGTTAATAATAAGTCTGAGCTAATAGATCAAATAGTTTGTAATTATTAATTAAGTCTCAGAGTGGTTATTCGGGAACCAGCATGCAGCAGAGAAATCTCCAGCTAAGTGTAACTTAACTTATTTTTGGAGACAGGCTAGACTATCGGCTGGCATGCCTGAGAACTCCTGTCTCTGCCTGTCTAGCATTGGAATGGCTGGTGTGTACACCACCACATCTGGCTTTTTACATAGTACTGGGGATTAGAACAAAGGTCCCCACACTTGAGGAGCACACACATTAGCAACTGAGACATCCCACCCCCATCCTACTTTCTTCATCTTCCTGTTGGTCTGAAATAGTCTTTTCCTTTCCTACTCTCTGCTGTTAGTCTAAGAGAGGCTGTTGTAGACAGATACAGATGATCTCTCAAAGTGCTCGGCTAATGTACGTGGCTGTTTGTCAGTTAACAGTTAGCAATGACTGACTTATACGCCAGGAGATGAGCCACTGCCAGTGTCCACACAATGATCTCAATTCTGCCGTGTTACACCTTGGATGAACATTGAAAACAGTGCATTGAATAAAGTAAGACAGACCAAAAAGGGAAATCCCCTGTGATTTGACTTTACGGAACATTTTGAATAGCAAGAGTTACCGAGAAAGTTGAATTAAATAGCAGTTAATAGAAGTGCAATGTGATGTGGGGGCTGGGGCGTTGTAGGTTAACACTCACTGGGTTTCTGTTTGGGGTTTAAAGTTTCAGAAACACTTGGTGACGATTACAGAACATGAATGTACTTAACACCGCAGAAATGAACAAGTTGGGCAGGTGGCACACACACACGTACACACACACACACACACACACACACACACACACACACACACGGGGGGGGGGGGGGGGGGGGGGGGTGGCAGCAGCCCGACCTCAGCACTCAGTCTAGAGCTCTCTGAGTTCTTACTGCTCTGAAGGCTTTCTTGAACACTTACATCCACAAGTTAAAGACCAGCCTGGGTCACATAGCAAGACCTTGTCAGAAAATTAAAGCAAAATGGTAAGCTTCATGTTATGTATAATGTATCATAGTTTTAAAAAAAAATCAGCCAGAAGGTGGTGGTGTAGGCCTTTAGTCCCAGCACTTGGGAGGCAGAAGCAGGTAGATCTCTAAATTCAAGGCCAGCCTGGTCTACAGAGTTCTAGGACAGCCAAGTCTATAAAGAGAAACCTTGTTTTAAAAAAAACACAAATAATAATAATAGTCATGAAAGGTGTGTTAGGGGCCATTTCAGGCCTCTCCTTTCTCACAAGGCCTTGAAGTAAAAACCTTGAGACAGAAAACTTAAATAAAGTTAACTAAAACATTGTGTGCTAATCTAAGAGACTCAAGGTCCGGAAAACACCGTAGAGTGCCCCCATTTATTCCTTGTTTATCCACTGACCTTGCAACTGCTGAGCCATCAAATCCCTTCCCCCTTCCTCCTTCCTCTTTCCCCCTGCCCGAGTTCTCCACTGGAGGAGTATTTAAGACAAAACTTGCTTCAATAAATGAGACCTTGACAAGAGAATTTTGCTTGGTCTCCATTCTCTCTCTCTTCCATGTTCTTTCAGATAGTGCCTCTTCAGGACTCCGGAATAACTAGACCTGCTGCTGGGTGGGTCAAAGGTGGATATAACTAGTTGGCTTTCTGGTTTCAATTTTACCATAGTTTTTTTTTATGGATAAATCCATAAAAATGTAATTGATAGTGAAAGTATAAAACTCCAGGCAAACTTCCATGCTTTCGAAATGGCCATTCTGACTGAAGTCCACTGAATTTGGAACTGAGAAAGTGTTTGTTTAAATGGCTACTTCATTGTAATGTAAAGTTTTTATTTGGGAGTTCATGACAATAAAGTGATTTCTAAAACAGAAATAAAGGAGCCAGGCTCAGCACTGAGCCTGTAATCTGAGCTCTCAGGAGCCAGGCTCAGCACTGAGCCTGTAATCTGAGCTCTCAGGAGCCAGGCTCAGCATAGAACCTGTAATCTCAGCTCTCAGGAGCCAGGCTCAACACGGAACCTGTAATCTCAGCTCTCAGGAGCCAGAGGCAGGAAGGCCAGCTTCATGAGTTCCAGGCCAACTAGGACTACCACTAGCAACACACACATATACTTGCACATGCACACAGGCACACACATACACACCACACTAAAACAAAGCAGGAGTAGACAGTAGCCCCACCCCCTGTACTTACTCCAGAAGCCTCTGAGCTGCTAGGTTACAGTGTTTCTCACCTGCCATTTCATATACTTAAAGCAAGCTTTCTGTATTTAACCTTCAAGTGTTTTGAAATATCCAGTAATCTTTACTCCCTTTACTCCCTCTAGACTCTCCCATATATCCCTGCATGCTCTCCTTCAAGCCCATGGCCTTGAGTCTGTGTGGTGCTACTTGCATGCATGTTTTCAGGGATGGCCATTTGGCTCTGGACAACCAATTGCTCTGCTCCTCCCTGGAAAGAAGTCCCTCCCCCTCACCCCTGCCAGCTTCGCTGGGTTGCCTGCAATCTGATTTTTTTTTTAAATTCAGCTTAAGTCTCCTGATTTGTAAAGCAAGCAAACAAAAGCCTACACTGTTAAATTTTGTTAGGGTCGCGTGGTCCTGAGACACATGGAGGTCATATGTTCTTCCTAGCATGTTATAACAGAGGGACGACATGTTTGAATTCCCTGTATTTACATGAGATCTCTGCAGGAACCCACTGGTAACTGCTAATTCACTAAGGCAGCTATAGGCTGAAAACAGAGGTAGAGAGAAGGCCACTTCATGTTATTTGGACATTTTACAGTATATGTATTAGTTTTTCAAGTGACTTTTTTATTCTTTGACAATTACATTAAATTTTAAAATTTTTTGAAAGCAGCTCCAACATCATTTTCTGGTGAAAATACATCATCATAACCCCCCCATAAGCTGCAACCCCCCCTTTAGGTCTATATGGTCTTCTCTGCTAAAGAACTCCTTCACCCCACCCTATTTTCATGAAGGTCAGCCTGAACAA